TGGACCTTTCAATCTTATTTAGCTTTAAACCAGGCCCTCTACTGAAAATTGTTTGGCTGTAATTATAAACTATACATGTAAGCCCTCAAGCAGGGGAGTCCTTTCCCCGAAATGTGATAACTCTATTTGAGTTTTATCCACGAAATCCACTCAGTTGCTCCTAACCCCATATCCAACCCCATCCAACAGAACAGTAATAGAAATCATAGAAGGTAAACCTTACAATAGGGACCCTTGTTCTGGTGACAACCATTCCTGTTGTGTCTGCTGAACAGAAAACGACTCTAATAGTAGAGAATCCCTGCTCTGAAAACGCCAATACTTTCTGACTATTGAAGACTTACAATATCCAAATTTAGCTGCCCCTCTCTTTCAGTAGAAGATGACCTCCCCTGGTCACTGGCTGCCAAAGCATGGGGCATGTAGTTCTGCAACAGCTGGAAGCCCACCAGTTGTCAATATTAATGAAAGGGGAGATTATATCAATGTCAGTACTTGTTGCAGTAAATACATTTCAGTTCCCTTTTCTCATTGATGACAGTTTAGGTTCACGCAGGGACCTGCAGAAACAGACAGAGTCAAGCTCAGTTATTAGCAGTTTCTATGGAGTGAAGGATATTCCCCTCCATACTTGTACTCTCTAGGTGGTCCTCACAGTTCATTTCATATTATATCAGTCTGTTCCAGACAATGTAATTTCACCGGCAGATATAAATGTCACATCTGCAAGTAGTGTGAGGAATTTATATACCCGGGGCAGCGGGGTGTATGTAGAGCAGCAAATAGCCTATTCACTGACAGTAATAGAGTTCCACCAAACGGATCCGGTTAAGTGGAAATATTCTTGTTAAACTAGATGCAAACACTTCCTGAATGGCATTTAGTTCACTAGGTGCACTGTGCATGAAAATCAACTGCCATTTGTACAAATAAAATACTGTTTTAACCTTATTTTTTATCCTTTGTTGCACCTCAGTGCTGCTGATCTCCTGGCGCCTCTTCCTATCTACATGCTCTCCAGTGATGGCTGTATGGCACTTCTTAGGGTGGGTCAACTGCTGGTGACCACTGTGGACCATGGCTGCATTATGTGTGTTAACATTCTACTTGCAGTCTCCTCTGGAAGTCCGTATGACAGGGTGATAATGCATGAGCGCAAATGAGAGACAGGGCCAGAGCGTTGTAACCTTAACAAGGACATTTATGGCTTTATGGATCATCAGGGATAAAAAAAATTTAAAGTGTCACTTACATTGCATTCATTTATTGTTTTGTTAATAAAGAAGTAAATGATGTGCTGCACATGATTTCCCTGCAGTTGCTTTTGCTATGAAATACTTGGTGACCCTGCAAGTTTCCCCATCTAACTCTGACCATGGTGGTAAGGTTAGTTTGTGTGCTTAATCTAGGAGATAGAGGAATCTGTGCCAAGCTATGTACCTGTACTCCTATGGCCAGCTTAGCCCTCATATCCACTGCCAAGCCCCAAGATGTGACAGCAGCCTAAAGGAATGTGGTCTGCTTTGCAGCCATGTGTGCTGCCAAACCGCCGCCTAGCCTAGCTACAACAGCAGCCTATAGGAACGTGGTCTGCTTTGCTGCCATGTGCGCTGCCACCCCCCCGCCTAGCCCAGCTACAACAGCAGCCTATGGGAAAATGGTCTGCTCTGCTGCCATGTGCACTGCCACACCCCCGCCTAGACCAGCTACAACAGCAGCCTATGGGAAAATGGTCTGCTCTGCCTCCATGTGCACAGTCAAACCCCCTCATAGCCCAGCTACAACAGCAGCCTATAGAAAAATGGTCTGCTTTGCTCCCATGTGCACTGCCACACCCCCGCCTAGACCAGCTACAACAGCAGCCTATAGGAACATGGTTTGCTTTGCGGCCATGTGTGCTGCCAAACCCCAGCTACAGCAGCAGCATATGGGAAAATGGTCTGCTTTGCTGCCACGTGCACTGCCACACGCCCCGCCTAGCCCAACTACAACAACAGCCTATGGGAAAACGGTCTGCTTTGCTGCCATGTGCGCTGCTACACCCCTTGTCAACGATACATGACAATGTAACCAGAATTAATTATAACAAGCTTGATATATCCTCATTCATTTGGAACCCAGAGATACAAAAGTAGGAAAGAAACTGCACAGTGAAGTATCTTCTTAGCTTTCCACTAATAAAATTCATAGACAACTCTGTATCAAAGCAAAAACTTTTTAACTTTTAGCTAAGGGCTGGAAAAGATCTTTCTTTATTGTATTCTGCAGTCCTCCAGAGAATGCCCAGGGCAAGGATACATGAGAAGGTAACATCAATTAATTATAATAAAGCTTGCTATACCCTCATCCATTCCGAACCCATAGGAACACACACAGGGAAAATAAACTGGGTAGTCAAATATGTATCTCTTTAGATTCTGGATTATAACATTTATGATTCACGGTCAAGAGAACTTGACGCAGCTGCCCCTCCAGTTCTTCCAGGCCAAAGGCCATATTTATCACTTCTGACCAGAAACACTTAAGAAGATAAACTCTGGCCTCTGAGGATCTCTTGATGAGATAATGCATGCAATACAAATCTGTGAGTGCCAGGGTTGTGGACAATATTTTTTCTGGCGTTAAAGTATACTTTTCCTTTTTCCCACAATGAGTTTGATCAATTTTATTTTCATATTTATTGTTTTTTTAACTGTAGTTTTAAATCTGCTTTTACTGTCTATATGCAATCTTTGTTTTATATAGTTGATACACGACAAAGGATTCCCAGAGAACTATGGGCTAGCTAATGACACTGGAGGGCAGTAGTAGCCTTCCTCATGGCTGGCTTTCTCTGATTGACATTTCAGACTCAGATGCCTGATATAGGAGGAGTTACAGCATTGAGTCACCATCGTTCAGCTGTGTGTAAAATTATGATTAAGCTACTGAGGTCTTTAAACAACAAAAAGAGCAAAATAAAGAGAAGCCAAGAGCTCCAACTGCTGTCTAAAAAATATATAAAATACTATACAAGATAATATTGTATA